TGGGATCATGACATGAGCCAAAGATGCTTAACTGACTGAGGCACCCTAAGAATACTCTTAATATACTATTAGACTAGAAGTCACAAGGCTAAATTTAAAACTTATGGACATGAGTCCATACTGGCATAAATAAATGTAGGAGAAGGAACAGTTCCTCCTGATAGAAGAATTCTAAAAATATATAGACATACTGGTTTTTCCAGGAAGTGAAGTTGAACCTTCTTACTTTCAGAGATGTGGGCCATTTTAGTGACTTGCTTCCAGGAAGACAGGAAAAATAGAGCTATTTTTGTTTCAAACTGCAAAACCTTATACAGGTTGTTAAGGAAAATAATAACAGTTGTAAGGAATGTTGATATCATGTACCCCACATATGATGTGATGAGAAAGTGCTTTATCACTCTTATATTCTTCTTCTAAATATAGAACCCTCATCTACTTTGAAAAGGAGAGAGACAAATCCAAATTGAGAAACACTTTTGAAATTGCTTTGCAAGTACTCATTCAAACCAACAAGAACATGAACAGCAAGATAAGACAGAAATATCCTAAGATGTAAGTGAGAGGATGCAATGTAGTGTCCTAGATAAGAGCCTATAATAAGAAAAGGAAATGAGAGAGAAAACTATTGAAGTACAAACAAATTCAGAACTTTAGTTAATAGTCCTGCACGAAGACATGTTCTTTTTTTTTATATTTTTTTTTATTTTGACAGTAGTATGGGAGGTTTGGGTGTGGGGCAAAACATATGAGAAGGTTATTATTAAAAAGTTCAAATTTCTACTGATAAAATAAATAAGTCACAGAAATGAAAAGTACAGCATAGGGAACATAGGCAATTATATTGTAATGACATTGTATGATGACAGATGGTGAAACACATAATCATGGTAAGCTTTGACTAATATATAAAACTGACAAAATACTACATTGTACACCTGAGACTAACATAACATTGTTTATCAACACAATTCTGTAACAAAAATTAAAAACAAATAAATACATTTTTAAATAATATACTGATAATAAAATACATTTACATTAGCAGAGACTGGGTAAAATTTTCTCAAATGAGTTTATTGAAAAAGAACCCACTCCAAAAACATAAAAAAAAAAAGAACAGAAAACAATTTGTGTCATTAGAGAGCAAAAATACCCAGGATTTGGGACGCTGTGGTCTTTGAGAAAATTATATTGACTGAGAGGATGCCATACATTCTATAATTTTTCTATTTGCTTCTTGCTCTTTCTTATATAATGAATGGTAAATATATCATGAACGGTAAATTTCCCAGCAAAAAATGGCAAACATTTGCTCTCTTCTCTCACATGAGGCTGGAGAGAAATAAATTGGAATCCACATCTGTCAATGCCAACCAGGGCTTATGTTGGATAGAAAAAGTCCTGTATAGAAGGGAATTGAAGATGAATGAGCCTGGCTTCTTTTTTATTAATACATAATGTATTATTTGTTTCAGGGGTACAGGTCTGTGACTCATCAGTCTTACACATTTCACAGCACTCACCATAGCACATACCCTCCTCAATGTCCATCCCCCAACCACCCCATCACTCCCACCTCCATCCCCTCCAGCAACCCTCAGTTTGTTTTCTGAGATTAAGAGAGTCTTATGATTTGTCTCCCTCCTATTTCATCTTGTTTCATTTTTCCCTCCCTCCCCCCATGATCTTCTGTCTTGTTTCTCAAATTCCTCATATCAGTGAGATCATATGATAATTGCCTTTCTCTGATTGACTTATTTCACTTAGCAAATAGTCTCTAGTTCCATCCACGTCGTTGCAAATGACAAGATTTCATTTTTGATAGCAGCATAATATTCCTGTGTGTGTGTGTGTGTGTGTGTGTGTGTGTGTGTGTGTGTGTGTATCACATCTTCTTTATCCATTCATCTGTTGATGGACATCTAGGTTCTTTCCATAGTTTGAACCTGACATTTTGTAGTGTTTTTTCTCTGATCACATTTGATAAATCCTAAGTGGCAAGCAATAGCAGCCTGAGACCATGAGTACAAAGCCACAGAGAACTGAAGAATCCAAGAAGAAATTCCTGCTGTTTCCTAGTCTCTGCAGACAAATATTTGACATTTATGATTTCCCAATGTGGAGAAGCCTGGGTCAATACCACTGATATCTTACACCTAAGAATAAGCACAATGAACTTACATTTCTCAAAAAGCATGGAACAGAGATTAGAATAATCTCATTCCTTGTTTTGGTCAAGGTTGTTCCGCTTTTACCTTGTGCCAGAAAGAATAAAATCCTCCTTGTAGGAATAAATCATCATCCATGCCATTACCATATGAATATGGTTTTGAGTATACAATAAAAAATTCACAAGCATATCAGAGGGAGGTTCAAATGACCAAAACCATGAACATAAGAGAAATAGAAAGAGACATGAGCAGATCTACATATATTTAGCACACAGTCTGTAAAATAACTGGAATTAATACTTTCATTGAAGAGCTAAGAAATTAACAACTTAATTGCTATTGGGTGTTTAAGAAATACTTATGCAGCAATCTATAGATTCAATCTCTATGAAAATGCAATCCCTATCAGAATACCAATAGCTTTTTTTTTTTAATTTGACAGAGATTACAAGTAGGCAGAGAGGCAGGCAGAGAGAAGGGTAAGCAGGCTCCTTGCTGAACAGAGAGCCCAATGTGGGGTTCAATCCCAGGAATTTGAGATCAAGACCTGAGCCTAAGGCAGAGGCTTTAACCCGCTGAGCAACCCAGGCGCCCTGTAATACCAATAGCCTTTTAACAGACTAGAACATTTCTATAGAAATTTCTATAGAAACACAGACTAGAACATTTCTACAGAAAATTTCTATAGAATCACAAAAAAAATCCAAAAAGCTAAACCAGACTTCAGAAAGAAGAACAAAGTTGGAGTTATCACAAATCCAGAATTCAAGCTATACCAAAAAGCTACAGGAATCATAAAAACATGACACAGTCACAAAAACAGACACATAGATCAATAGAACCAGATAGAGAGCTTAGAAATACATCCACACTTATATCGACAATTAATCTGTGACAAAGAAGGAAAAATATACAATGGGGAAAGAGAATCTTGTCAATGAATGGTGTTAGGCAAACTGGAGAGCTACATGTCAAAGAATGAAGCTGAACAACTTACACTATACACAAAAATAATTTCAAAATGAGGGAGGGAGGAAGGTGGGGGTAAAGATTCTCAACATGGGTTAAAGATCTACATGTGAGAGCTGAAACCATAAAAACTCCTGATAGAAAACAAAGGCAGTGATCTCTTGGGCATTGGCCTTAACAACTTATTTATGGACATGTCTCCTTAGGCCAGGGAAACAAAAGCCAACATAAACTATTTGGACTACACCAAAATAAAAAGCTTTGCACAGTAAAGCATCAACAAAACAAAAGGACAACCTATGAACAGAAGGAGGTACTTGCAAAGGATATATCCAATAAAGTGTTAATAATCCTAACATGTACAGAACCCATACAACTTAATACCAAAAAGATAAATAATTTGACTTAAGAGTCGGCAGAGAAGATACATAGATATAGGAAACAATTTTGTTAATAATAAGGATTTGGTAGGATATGAGAAAGACAAATATTACAATGATTTAAACAAAGATACTGTATTTTTATCCCATTTAAATGTTTAGGCTTGTATGTTGAAACTCCTCCATGAAATCACTGTGTTTCTAAGCTGGAAAGACCTGCAATGGTGTCAAGAACTTAGGAGTGGTCTCTCTTGTTGTATTTCTAGTGTGATTGCTTATTCTCTGGCTCTAAATGGCTTGTATCCCATCTACATCACAACACTGAGAGGGGTTAGAGAGCAAGAGGAGGGCAAACTTCTTTTATTAAAGGATAATCCATAGAAATTGCTCATCTCCACTTACACCCTTTGTTTATAATTTAGTCATATGGTCACGACAAGTTGCAAGGAAGGCTAGCTATAGTCATAGATAAATATTCCATTAACACAGAGGAAGTGGAGAATGCTTGGGTATTAAGAAATATCCATTAGTTTAAGATTTACTAGATCATACAACAAAGATTATCTGGAAAAAGACACCTTTCAGAAATGAAACTGAGGTTATGCATAAAAAGAATTCCTAATTGTATCTACAGGATTAATGGTGATGTATTTAACTTGAGGCAGTGTTTTCTATGACAGGTTAATAAATATTATCACTTTTCATTATCAACAGAAATAATTTTTTTTCCTATTTTCTTTCCTGCTATCTATATTTTTGAACTCAAATGTGACTATCCAGAAGAACAATCACATAGTAGGGAAGTCCTAAACTGAATTCTCAGGAGACACAGTCAAAAGTAGTTTTTTAGGGGTGCCTGGGTGCCTCAGTCAGTTGAGCAACTGACTTTTGATTTCAGATCAGGTCATGATCTCAGGGTCATGAGATCAAGCCCCACATCTGGCTGACAATGGAGTCTGCTTGTCCCTCTTCCTCTGCTCCTCCCTCCTGCTTGTAATCTCTCTCTCTCTCTCTCTCATTCTCTCTTTCTCAAATAAATATAGAAATAAATAAAATTTTATTTTTTTTAAAGATTTTATTTATTTATTTGACAGAGAGAGATCACAAGTAGATGGAGAGGCAGGCAGAGAGAGAGAGGGAAGCAGGATCTCTGCCGAGCAGAGAACCCGATGCGGGACTCGATCCCAGGACCCTGAGATCACGACCTGAGCTGAAGGCAGCGGCTTAACCCACTGAGCCACCCAGGCGCCCGAAATAAATAAAATTTTAAGGTAGGTTTTTTAAATATTTATATTTATTTTTATTAAGATTTTATTCATTTATTTGATGGCGAGGAAGATGGTGAGAGAGGGAACACAAACGGGGGGAATTCAAGAGAGAGAAACAGGCTTCCTGCTGAGCAGGAAGCCCAGTGCAGAGCTGGGATCATGACCTGAGCCAAAGGCAGACACTTAACAACTGAGCCACCCAGGTTCCCCAATATTTGGTGGCTGGGGAGAATTTTGTAATAAATTATAAATATGTGATCCCTTGGGAATGGTGTTCTTGGAGTTCATATACTCCTGAGAATTCTTCAATATTCTTTAGATTTTTTTCCTTCAGGGCCCAGAAAGCATAAATATTCCAAGGGATCAAGTGTTCACTAACTTATATGGCATTGAGGATAATACAGGGAAAATTATTCAATACAAAAATAAGTAAATCATAGCAATGGGGAAATTTAATATACTACTCTAAGTATCTACCAAAAAAAAAAAAAAAAAACAAAACAGCTAAGGAAACAATTTACAAAGTTGTCTTAAATACAAAAGAAAAAACAATCATAGATTGTAAGCTAGAAGGAGACCCATTCAGAGAGGAATGGAATGTCAGTGTACTCTGTTCAGCACGATGATAAAAGATTTAAAGACTGGAGCAGAGATCATTTTATCTGAATAAATCTGTGTATATATCTTCTTTTGAAAAGGTGTTTGAGTTTTTAGGTCTTTGGCAGAATGATTTAAAACTCAAAAAAAATGAAAAGAAGAGGTATGTCTAAAATTTAAAAACCATTATTTCCTGTTAGTTATGTTTAACCCATGTTGTTCTGTTTTACCATTAAAGAATTTAATTTAAATTTTCTAATCTTTTAAATTTTGATTGTAGGGAAAACAGTGACAGAAGACAAATAGAATACAGTGAAAATTTGGTATTGAAAAAAATTTTTTTAAAGATTTTATTTATTTATTTGACAGACAGAGATCTCAAGTAGGCGGAGAGGCAGGCAGAGAGAGAGAGAGGAGGAAGCAGGCTTCCCACTGAGCAGAGAGCCTGATGCAGGGCCTGATCCTAGGATTCTGGGATCATGAAGGCAGAGGCTTTAACCCACTGAGCCACCCAAGTTCCCCAAAGAAAATTGCTTTTAAGTTTCACCAGTATTCACAATATCTAATGCAAGTAAACATCAGTGTACTCATAGGCCTGACTTCTAATGGTTCTGTAATATGAGCTTTGTCAAATTTTGAACAATGTGTGTTGGGGATAGTTGGTGTGTGTAAAGGTTAAAGTTGAACAAAGAAATAATCTGACAGTAAAATTCTGATTTAGGAGTTATAAGTATACCTTTAGTTACTGCCATTGGAATATCTTGTGTAAATGTAGATTGCTTCACAACTATGTGAATGTAAAAGGAATGCCCAGGAAAAACAATAGTCCTTTCTTTTTCATTTACATTATTAAGGTGATATTTTTTTAAAAGATTTTATTTATTATGGAGGTTTCTCAAAATGTTGAAAATAGAACTACCCTATGACCCAGCAATTGCACTGCTGGG